ATGAGGTATATATAAATATGAGGTATATCATATAATTATGAGGTATAATTATGAGGTATATAATTATGAGGTATATATAAATATGAGGTATATCATATAATTATGAGGTATAATTATGAGGTATATAATTATGAGGTATATATAAATATGAGGTATATCATATAATTATGAGGTATAATTATGAGGTATATAATTATGAGGTATATATAAATATGAGGTATTATCCGCTCTTGATATAATGTAACATGACAATTTTTTAAAGTTATCCTGCCATAATCTATAGCCATAAAGGGCCAGAAAAAGAAACATTAGTTATATCAGGAGCAGATAATAGGGATATGGTTATATCATAGTACGATGGATACTCCTGGTTATCTATTACTATACTACTATACTACTACTACTACTACGATACTACTATACTATCACTACTACTACTATACCACGATAGATACTCCTGGTTATATCATAGTACGATTCGTGCTTATATGCTGCCTACGTTTTCCCCATATATATAATTCGCTTGCTATCTTTTGGCGCAAATCCATTATAAAAATCAGGGGCCCGTTGTCAGAAACAAAATTAGTCTTAACATTAGCATTAACTTTACGATTTTTCTGACAACGGCCCCCTGAATTCGACTCGTAGTTAAAGACGTACAAAAATAAGCGTAGATTCGACCGTACGCTGCTGTGAACTGAGACAGCGGATGAACACGCACGACGTTCTTACCTGAAGCCAGCACGTCTGTTTCCAATTTCTGTTCATCAAGCGTCTCATAGGCCGCACTTTCAATCAGCAATGCGAGAATACAAAACATTGTCAAACCAAAACCGGCCCGTACGTTGGTGGCCATTGTTGACGCGTTCGCGAGGCTGAGATACGCGTATACGTGTGTCCATGCATGCGTGCCTGCTCTACCCCCGAAACTCACTCTCCTTGTGTGTGTGTATATGCATGCCTGGCTGCTATATAGTGTCATACCTTCCCTGTAGCAACGTCATTGGAGTCGCTATTGCGCACTCTGTGCGTCTGTGCGTAGAAGATATGCGTGAGGCGAACGAAAAGCTGAATAGATTGTCGCGTGGAGACTGAGTGCGAGGTGTAGAGCGATAGAGCGTCCTTATAAGCACGCCGTGGGTATTTTGTTTGTGAAATATAAAAATTTTGAGGGATTTACTTTAAATGTCAATTCTACTATTTCACACAAACTATATTGCCATGGTGAATGCGATGGTGCAGTTCTGCTATAACAGGGGCGGATCCAGAGGGGGGTCGAGGGGGTCCGGACCCCCCCTTTTTACCACAAAAAAGGGGGAAAAAGCATACACACACGCGCACGCACGCACGCGCGCACGCACGCACACACACACACACACACACACACACACACACACACACACACACACACACACTTCTGGATCTGGTAAATTTTTGCATTATAGACATCAAAATTACTGCTCAGATGCTCTCAGAATGCACCAATTTTTAAATAAAAATTTGGGGGAGGTCCCCCCCCCACAAGTCGCCTTCGGCAGCTTTTTCAAACACCAGAAAAGGTAAGCAGGAAAACGTACCCTTTATTTCTTCCTGGACACCCCCTTTTCAAAAATCCTGGATCCGCTCCTGTATAATAGCTAGGGAGGGATGCGTTGACAACTGCGCGTTTACTCAAAATAACATTAGGAATATTACGAATTACAATAATAAATATCATATTTAAAAAAACTATATAGACAAGCATACATAATAATAAAAAATAAAAATATGACTGTAATAAAATGCGCATATATATATATATATATTTATACCTACTCACATTCTATGCACAAGCACACGCACTCACACACGCGCACGCAAATATATTATATATAATTAAATAAATAAATTTATACATGATAATTTCTAATAAGAAACATAGCGTTAATAATTTTAAAGTCGAAACCAGATCCCATACCCTAGAACAGACCACTTCAATCAAATACCTAGGTATCTTTATTGACAACAAACTTAACTGGGATCCGCATATCAATAGCGTATCAAGCAAACTATCTAAAACAGCTAGCATAATCTCTAAACTAAGATATTATGTTGACACTCAGTCTTTATTAACAGTATATTACGCACTTGCTTATTCTTACTTACAATATACTATTCTCAGTTGGGGATCTGCTACAAAATCTGAACTCAAACCAGTAATAACACAACAGAATAAGATTATCAAACTGATTAATTTTGCTACTAAATGGTCTCGAGCCTCTCCACTTTATCTCAAACATAACTTATTAAAACTTAACGATATATATCTCTTGGAATTGGCCAAATTCATGTTCAAATTTAACACAAACTCACTACCGGCAATATTTTGTAACTATATTACCAAAAAACAACTGAAATCCATTTTCACTATACAAGATATTCTCTATATTCCAATTACCATCTTCCCCGTTTTTCTACATCCATGGGATTAAAAACACTAAAATATCAAGATGTGAAACTTTGGGCTTCCCTCAACCATAAACTAAAAATGCTTAACCTTTTCAACTTTACAACTTTTCAACCTTACAAATACCATCTCATATCGAATTACTAATGACTACTTGCAATAACTACTCAGCTCTAATAATTTTCAAAAATGCAACTTGGTCGGGTTAGTTAAGTTTATTGTTTAAAGAATTAGATCATATGATCACTTTGTTCTTTGGGTTTTTAAGTGCAATATATGTCATACCTCTTCATAACATTCAACATTTGTTGATCTTGTGTACGTTTAAATTGTGATGTTGCATACCAGTTAGTGTATTTATTTACTTATATTTTTGATGCTCTTGAGTTATTGTTTGTTGAAATTAAGTTTTGTTATGCTAAGCTATTTGACTGATCATACCTGTTCTCCTTTGCGTAATCATCATGTATCTTTCATTATGTTAAACTCATGTATCCATATAACAGCCATCATATATATGTAATAATTCTCTCGAGTGGCTGACTCGAAGACTTCACAGTCAACTCGCCCTCCTACGCAATTCTAAACTAATATAACCAGCTATATTATGTATGCATATTGTAATGCGTGAATAAACATTTTTGAATTGAATTGAATTGAAAAATTGAATACCTTTCTGTGAATTTGTGCAGTAGCGTGCGTGCGGTGAGCAGGGGAGCATATGAACGGCATTTACGGTGTTTTTTTGCCGATAGAGAATGCATAAACTACGTTTTTTTACTATTTTAAACAATTTGTTTTCATTTACATTAATTTTATTATTGAAACGGTCGAAGTCATGTGCGTATGCGCTCACGCCTCAAAATCTAAATAGAAAAACAGTCTAAAAAACAGTCTAAATAGAAAAACAAGAGAGCAGGCGTCGCCAGATGTCGCCATTTTCGGCGTTACTCGTTCTTACTTCCACAGCTATAAAAGAATTTACCGTGTTTACTCCACGAATAACTGAAGTTATGTCTGTTCCTAAATCACCTGAAGGTAATATTTATAAATACCTACCGTTTATTGTGTAATGTACCCACAGTTTATGTTGGACTACTGGACTTAATGTTTCTCTACTCTCTTTCACCTATTATTGCCGACACTTTCCTGTAAATACCGTCCAAATGCTCATCTGCAACACGCTGGCCGCCGCATAGACCAATAAATTGTGCCCTAAAATTTGTTATATTCTGATGTTATTTTAGGGCCCAATACCCTTCCATAGACAAAACCTGTGAATTTTGTCGTGCATTTTGCACGACAACCTTTTCACTATTTATGGCCGTGTTACATAGAAAATCAAAGAAATACCTGAAGCCGTCGCTTTATTAACATCTTACCTACATTACAAAACACTGGTCATGCAGTATTCTCCTCTGTAATCACGTTTATTTTATTAAAATATCACGACATCAAAATCACGCAAACTTTGCTAGACACCAAACTGCCAATCTTGCATTTGAATCGCGCCGGACAGCGTCACAGCGATGATTTCATTGGCCGGTGAGATATGTCGTTGTGCGGTTCAAATGCAATATTGGCAGTTTGGTGTCTAGCGAAGTTTGCGTGATTTTGATGTCGTGATATTTTAATAAAATAAACGTGATTACAGAGGAGAATACTGCATGACAAGTGTTTTGTAATGTAGGTAAGATGTTAATAAAGCGACGGCTTTAGGTATTTCTTTGATTTTCTATATGTAACACGGCCGTAAATAGTGAAAAAAGGTTGTCGTGCAAAATGCACGACAAAATTCACAGGTTTTGTCTATGGAAGGGTATTGGGCCCTAAAATAACATCAGAATATAACAAATTTTAGGGCACAATTTATTGGTCTAGCCGCCGCACGCTAGCTGCTGCACACTGACAGTGACACATAAATATATAGCACTGCAGGTACTACTATTTTGGCAGCACGCTTTTCTAGTATTATTAGGAAAGCGTGCTGCCAAAATTCGCTCGACGCTCAAACGCTGAACACAAATAGTCAACCATTCTACTCCATCTTTGTTTCTGTTTGTACGAGATGTGTGTAGACCAAGCCTTAAGTCACTGTTTGGTTTTCTAGATGTTGATCTACGGAATATAATTGACAAGTTGGCAAATTTTGTTGCCCGGAATGGATCCGAATTTGAACAAATGACCAAAACAAAACAGAAAGATAATCCAAAGTTCAGCTTTCTGTTTGGTGGGGAGTACTTCAACTATTACCAATATAAAGTGACGACAGAACAAGCAAGTAAGTATATCAAAATCAACAGAAGTCTTGTGGGTACTAACTACTTGTGGTAACTTGTGGCTAATGCTCCACAAACATAAGCCTTTACAATTTTTATAATCAGGTTAAAAAGCTTATACGTGGTGTGACTCAAAACGTTTATTCTTATGTGCACTACAGTCAGGGTTCGTAGCGGGTCTTCCAAAGTCTTATAAGTACTTATTTTGCCAAAAATAAAATAAGGGCCCTTATTACTTACTTATTTTTAGTGAAATCTTAGAAAAGTACTTTAAAATAGTCGTTGTTTTTTTATTGTTTTATAAACTGTTCTCGACTTAGAGTAAGAATTGTTGTATATATAATACGGAATAATTAAATCTGCTGTGCAATTGTGTATATAAATATTATTAGTGTACTTTAATAGTCGGTGATCCATCAGAAATCGCGTAAAAAAGTCTTATTTTGGCCTCCAGAAAGGGCCTTATTTCAACATGTGTCTTACTACTATGAACCCGGACAGTTATCAAGCAGCAGCAGAAGAAACTACAGGACCGGCAGGTTGTACAACTACCAGTATACTCGCAGGCCGGGCATGCAGGGCCTCTCCCTCCTGGCATTTCGGGAGTTGGGCAGGGTCCGCCGGTCATGCCTGCAGTATGGGTCAATACACAGCAGCAGTTACAACAGGTAAGTAAGTATGTAGTAATTTAGTGTGCACCGTACTATTGATAGTTAGTCTGCTTATATTCTACTGTTTATATTATTATTATGTTATTATTCTATGTTATATATATATATATATTATATTATATATATTCTATGTATAATTGTATATATGTGTTATTATTTCACTGTGTTGTATATATACAGATGGTACTGTGCTTATGTTATTTGACTCGTCTGCTCTCAGTCTCGATATAACGATTCATCTTAGTGTTTTACTTGCGTCTAATCCAAGGTTCGCTGTGTAAACAGAAGTTGCGGCATTATTTGCGTTGAACTCTATGCGATTGCAGGCGGAAGCAGCCTACCAGCAACAGAAGGAACATGCTGAGCAGCAGATTATCCAGAGTGAACAGAATCTAGCAGCACAGTATCAGGTCATGATGCAAGGCCAGCAGGTATGGTATAGCAGTGTTTCCCCTGCATTGACATGCCACACAGAAATTTGTCTAAAGCACCACCTTACTGATGAAAATCTCATAGAATGTGTTTAGAATCTAGCTTATAATGCACCAAATTGCACAATTTTTTCAAAGATTTTTCGGGAGGGGCATGGCCCCCCCCCCCCTAGCTGTGGTGCTCGCTTTGCTAGGACCTCGAAACACGCAAACACACCAAAAAATAATTTCTTACCTCACAGACCTTTTTGGCCAGGGGAAACACTGTATACACCATACAGTGCACAATCCATTATCCGAAACTCTTGGGACTAGACACATTTTGGGGTTTTGGAATGGTAGTACAGTACAGATATACATACCGTATATCCTGCAACTAGCCAGTACTAAAACCCAAGTTTTCAAGAGGCCAAGTGCTGTACCGGTACAGCACAATATGTGTGAGTAATGCCCAACACATTGGGGGGGTGGAGCTTTGGAGCCAAACGCGAGCTTTGGTGTGCAGACGACCTCCACGAAAAAACTTTCGGTTTTCGGATTTTTCGGTTTTCAGAATTTCGGATAATAGATTGTGTATTGTATATTATTTATAAACAAGTGATGCAGGTGAGCATGCTAGCTTGACTGCAGGTGAGCATGCTAGCTTGACTGCAGGTGAGCATGCTAGCTTGACTGCAGGTGAGCATGCTAGCTTGACTGCAGGTGAGCATGCTATCTTGACTGCAGGTACATGTCGCGGTGGATGTCAGGTCGTTACCTACATGTGTTTTGTGTTATTTTTCTCCAGTCTTCGATCCAAGAAGGTGTGGCCAAGGCAGAGAATGAACGTCTAGAGTTGCAGGCGGAGGAGTGTGGAGTAGAAATGAGCGAGTTAAACAACATGGCTCAGTCTATCATTGATTCCTGTACTAAGGATGCGATATCGGTACGATGCTTATTCAGATATTTGAATACTGTGTGTCGTGGTCATTGCAAAATCGTCAATAGTTCAACACAGCTCATTATTAACATTCTGTAAGAGATGTAAATGTCAATCCTACAATACAATCTCATAGTTCTGGAACAATGAAATCGTAAGCATCTATCTAAGGGATCATAATATCGCACCAGGCACTAATTGTGCACTAAAAGGATGATCATTGGATGGTAAATATAATAGATATAACTAATAATTCCTTGTGCTGGAAAGAGTGTAAAATTAGTAAGTTTCACTGAGAAACATTACTACCATTCCTGCTTGTTTTGATTATAATAATGTTTCTAAAGCCCGGCGCACAATACATGTGTTTTGTGTTATTTTTCTCCAGTCTTCGATCCAAGAAGGTGTGGCCAAGGCAGAGAATGAACGTCTAGAGTTGCAGGCGGAGGAGTGTGGAGTAGAAATGAGCGAGTTAAACAACATGGCTCAGTCTATCATTGATTCCTGTACTAAGGATGCGATATCGGTACGATGCTTATTCAGATATTTGAATACTGTGTGTCGTGGTCATTGCAAAATCGTCAATAGTTCAACACAGCTCATTATTAACATTCTGTAAGAGATGTAAATGTCAATCCTACAATACAATCTCATAGTTCTGGAACAATGAAATCGTAAGCATCTATCTAAGGGATCATAATATCGCACCAGGCACTAATTGTGCACTAAAAGGATGATCATTGGATGGTAAATATAATAGATATAACTAATAATTCCTTGTGCTGGAAAGAGTGTAAAATTAATAAGTTTTACTGAGAAACATTACTACCATTCCTGCTTGTTTTGATTATAATAATGTTTCTAAAGCCCGGCGCACATATGAGTAATTTTACTCAAGTAATATGACACATGAGTCATTTTACTCACGTGTGCGGCGGATTTTCATTGAGTAATTTGACGCATGCGTCATTTTACTCAATATCAAACCTGTTTGATAATTTTTGACTCGTGCGTCATTTTACTCAACGTGTGTGCGCGCGCGCTGAGTAAATTTACTCAACACTGGTACTCACAGCGCATGCGTTTAAATCAGTGTGCGCCCAGTATTGGCTGCGAACAGTCATGTGATCTGCATTGCCACTTATTCATTGAGTAATTTTACTCAGGTGTGCGGCGAACGCTGAAAATATTACGCGTGAGTATTTTGACTCATGCGTCATTTTACTTGAGTAAAATTACTCACGTGTGCGCCGGGCTTAACATACAAATACGTGTCTGGAATTTTAATCTAGAATGGAAAAAACTGGATTTTCAATCACAACCTGTCTGAGCAGCATTCCATGGTGATAGCCACATACTTGCTAAGAAGGTAAAATACTATTTTATAAGATGTTAACTTTGTAGATGTTAGCCAAGCTTGCAAATGTTAGAGCAATGTAAATTTTCAGTGAACCGGTTATAGTTTGTTGCTACAGTGCAGTTGGTTTAAAAGCTAATTGCATAAAATGGTTAAATGAACATTAAACATATATAGTTTTACATTAAGTACAATTGTGTGATGTGTAATAGATAATTGCATATTTAACATCTAATTTTCATTTGACTTTGATTTCTGAATGTAGTTTCCGATGTTTTACACATTACGTTTTTATGCTGTCTCCGGTTCGGCAAAAGAATGTTCTTGTTGTTTTATTGCAGGATCACTGCAAAGGAGACGCCCTTTGAAGCCAAGCTTCACCTTGTTTACCTCATCAATGATATATTACATCACTGGTAGGTGCTATCAGCATTCACATGAGGTCTGGAAATTCTTAGACTATTCTAAATTGCCATTTTTTTAGGTCTGAAAAGTTGCACATTGTCGTAGAAATTGTGGTCCTGGAAATCCTGGACTATTAGTATGGTGTGGTCCTAGAAAGTTTGTTAAATTGAGCTCATGTCCATCTGGTCTGACTCGCAATAAAATCTTCATGGAATTTTTTCCACTAATCACTAATTGGACGATACAAGGTACAAAGGTTGTATTTGGGTAAAATATTGCGATTGTAGAATATTTGGCTTATATTAGTCGTGGAAAACGTCGGAAAAACTTTTTGCCGTACGAGTACAAACTCTAGCCATACTTTCCACAGCCTCAGCATTGACCTGAAAGTGCCACCGCCTGTGTGCTTTGTTACTGATTGCCTTTTTTCTTTTCTCAGTGTCCGTAAGAATGCGGGCTCACTGAAGACATCCCTGGAGGCAGTTGTTGTACCAATCTTTTGCAGCACACACATGGCAGCTGACGTGCCAAAGCAAGAGAAACTGGCGAAGGTATGGGATGTGGCAATTGTTGACTGTGCGCAATAAACACATGAAGCTAGCCGCCTTTGTACATGTTCAGCGTACGGTGTGTAAAAATTGAGAAGTTGACATATATGTTTAGAGCTTTGTTATACGTCAATCCTGATTAGTTTTATTTTGAGTTCTTGTTATCATGGCCTTGCACATGTTGCATGCAGCTTTTTTCTACTATTGTTTCGACTATATTGCAGCTGCTAGGCCTCTGGGAGAAGAATGAGTATTTCAGTCCAAGAACACTAGAGCAGTTAAAGAACCCTGCTGCTTCTGTGTCCAACTACCAGGTGCGTACTGCAATCCCACTTACATAAATAAAAAATACATTCCTACAATCCTAGGTCTGTAATATAAACCCTGTATGTTGGTCATGATTATGTTACTTGCGAGTGCTTGGTTTACTCACGAAGTTTATTTATTGTTGGTTCAAAGGGCACAGTATCCACGTTGTTTGCGAGCACAGTCACACGATTTTGAGATTATGTAAGCCTTTTGCATCGGGTGGTGGCATAAACACTGACCGTGATATCTATTGTTTGTCTGTAAAATACCATACCATATATTTTGTTTATTGTTGTTATGTGACTAAGAGCTTAGACGGACGAGCCTGTCTCGTTTACCCATACGTTTGGTTGTCGTTGTTATGTAACTGACAGTTTACACGCCTCCTGTCTCGTTTGCCCATACGTTTGGTTGTCGTTGTTATGTAACTGACAGTTTACACGCCTCCT